AATTATTTAAAATATTTTAGGAAACATTTTTTATATTGAATCATAATCACATTTATAATATTGTTAAACCAAATAATTTGTAAATTGACAGTTAAGATATAACTATATTTTTTATGCAATTTGTATCATTTTTGTTTAAAATATATATTATTTTTATTTTTTATTAATAATATATTTCAATAACAAGTACTTTATTGTGTATATTAAATTTATTATCTTTTTTAATGGTTTGTCATTTAAGATACATTTAAATTTTTATAGCCATTTTAAATATTAAAATTATCATTATTAATTTAAGTAACAATATATATCTATAATTTTTATAAACAATAAATTTATAAATGTCGGTAATTTTTAATTCAATCAAATTATAGTTTTAATATTAATATATTTAATATCAAAGAGTATAATGTATTATAGATTATAATATTGTATTGTATTTATAATTCATAGGAACCGATGATCTCAGACATGAGTTGTGAAACCTATGACTATAGGCATCGGATTCGCTATTGTTTGGCCTGACGTCAGGTCTGAGACTTACTTATGAGTAAAAGTGTGGCCAAAGAATTGACAGAATCTATATTTGGTGTCAAATCATATGTTTTTTCACACTTTGAATAACAAAACGTTTTTAAGTCTTTCTCCCTTCAGATCACTTTGTGGGCGATATTTGTCACACTTTCGTATATTTTATCAAAATTTGTTTTTAACGAATCACTGAAGTTATAAATCTTATATAAATACCATTAAAAATTGATAACTATTTAAAATAAAGTTGATTCTTATAAAACATTAAATTGTTTTAATAAATACTTCAATTGTATATTTTTTATCTTTACAGGTAAAGTAAGTTTTTACATTAAAACTAATAAATACTAATTATTAAATAAATTATATATTATATAATATATTATTAAATATGACTATTTAATTGTATAAATTAATATTTATGACAATTTTTTGCAATAAATACTTACTATAAATTACAATAAAGTAATAAATATAGTATTCTTTATAATGTTTATAGCTTTATGCTTTGTAAATTATTTATGCTTACGATAATTTTATTACATAATATGAAAATAATTTTTATAATATAAAACAATATACAATATTACAAACTCATTAATATTATATACTTTAAATGAGTCAAAAACGGCTATAAAAACTATGACAATATATAAGACTTAACTTAAATCATTCAAAAATACATGTTTAGTTAATTTGATTTTAGACCAATACTTTTATATTTATTTACTAATTGTAATTTAAAAATTACTATTAAAAATACCATATAATGTTAAATTATTTGTGTGAGTTTGTCAAATTTAATATATTGTTATATATTTCATAGCCGTTTTCATTCATGTGTTTTAGTAATATTTTTAGTTAATTAACTTAAATATATAATTCGACTCATATTTATAAAATTAATGTAATCTTTGTATATTAAAATCAATTTAATTAAGATTACATTGATATAAGACATGTATTAATTAATGTTGTTTTACAAAATTAATAAATTAATATTATTTATTGTTTTGCTTTTTGTTTAAAAGTTATGACACATATTTCACTTAAAATAATTAATTAGTTTAATATACTGTATATTCTTAATTAATAAGGAAAGACAAACATTATGTCTTATTATAATTTATAACAAACTGAGAAAATAATTATTAATCTAATTTAAATATGTATATTAATATTAGTAACTTAATTAAAATATATTTAGTTTTAGATTAAGTTTTAAAAATAACTTATTTTAATTATGTTACAATTTTTAAAAATAATTATTAAAATAATAATAAAATATAGTTTTTCGCACTTATTGTAAGTATCTTGAGTTTAATAATAATATAAAAAATTATATATTATTTAAATTCATTTAGAAATTGCTATTTCTATTAAATAATAAATATTAAATAATTTGTTTATTATAATAATGTTAACATTTATTAGCATAATGTCAACATTAATGGAAATCATATCGATTGCATTTATTATATTAATCATTAATATAATGACAACAAATGCCGATGAGATGGTTGGCCCGAAAGAGAGTCGCGGACACTATGCTCTCAGACGTCTTGATTGTCAATTGTTTTGTAAGAAAACAGGATTCAGTGGTTATGTCGGCGGATGTCAGTGTGGTTTCACACTGTTTGCCAGCAAAAGATCCGATGCCTATAATCTTGATAACAATGGGTAAGTATTTTATAGTTATAAAAATATATTTTCTGTTTTGATATTATATATAGATTTATATTTATATTCAAACAACAATAGCCTCAAGAATATTAAAATTAGTTATTTATATAAAAAACAAAATATTTTATTGATTTTATAAAAAATTATAGATATCTTATAAAATATTGAATAAATTAAGTTTACATTAAATTATATCATAAAATTGAAATTTTAATATAAAAATAAGATAAACTCGTATCCAACTAAATATTTTTTATTAATAAAAATTTACGTTACATGAATCATAATAATATTTATTTATGTATAATGTTGAATTATAAAAATACATTGTTAAAGCCATTTAATAAACAAGCATAATATTTCAAAAGATTTCTATAAAATGACATTTCTATAAAATTATATATCATTTAGATTTTTTTCAAAATGTAAACATAATTTGTATAAATTATATATATATATATATATATATATTATGTTTAATAGGAAATGATAATATGTGGTTTGAAAATATATATATATATATATATATATATATATATATAACGTCAGTTTAGATGTCTTTTAAGTATTATTTATAAGATATTCTATAATCTCTGACCAAATAAAATAAATAAATATAAATATTTTTGACACATACTTTTAGTTGAATAATAAAACATTTTTCTCAATTTGAAAGTATATTTTAAAACAAAAATGTTATCATAAAATGATGAATATATTTTAATATTAAAAGACTAGATATAAATAATATTATTTTGTGTAAATAAAAGTGTAAATTATACTTTTGATTAAACAAAATAATAATTCTGATAAACCTTTTTAAATAATAAATTTATGACTGTTTATAACAAACAAACAATATTTACTAATCACTCACTTTATTTAATGGATTGCTTTTCTTTAACATCAATAACTATAACTTACATACAATAAAAATAAATAGACAAAAATTATTTATAAATAATTGGCAAAAAACATAGAATTTCAGTTTACTATAATATCAAAAATAAATGACAAAAAACTTTTGTAATTAAACTTTGAAACAAAAAGTATTTCAAACAATAAATTGAGAAATAAAAAGCAAATAATTTTGTGACATTAATTTTGATTTTTATAAATAAAAAATGATATGAGTTTTAGTATAACAAACAAACTATCATTTTATATGAATTATTTGTATGAATAAACATAAATAGTTATTATCTTAAAATTAATTAGAAAAACAAAAATTAATATAAACAAGCATATATTAAGATAATTAATTATTAATTTTTTACATTTATTTAAGATTTTAATTATTAAAAATTATTTATTAAATATGATATTACAATTATTATAGTTTATGATATTAAAATATATTTAATTAAGTTAACATAAACTTAAACTTAAAAAATATTTCATAATTAAATTATTTATTTATATTTTAGCGACAATAAACTAAATGGCAATAAATTCATAAAAAGTGGATATAATAATCCATCGGATTTTACATCAAATTTAATGTCAAGTGATGAACAAAATAAACGTCTAAATAAATACACATCTTATCACAGGTTGTATTAAAAATCAGTTTTAAAACTTATTTACAGAATATTAAAATTTAATTAATTAATTTAATTTTAGACCAATATTTAACCACATTTGAGTTTGCATTTTAAACGAAACAATGATTAAAAATTTGTTAACAATAAAACGAAGATATAATTTTAAAAATTTATATTTAATGTTATCATTTATTTAAGTAAGTTTTGTTCATACAATTCATTGAAGTATATAAAGTATATTTATTTGTAATGTAATTTTAAATCTAATATCTATATTAGTGATAATTATTTATTTTTTAAACTATTGAAGTATATAATAACTCGATTTACTTTAAATACATATATTAATAAAGTCTACAAGAAATCAATCAATGTTTGATAATATTTTAAAAATGATAACTAATAAACTGTTTTAATAAATCAATAATATGCTATAATGTTTAACAAAATAAATAAATTGTATACAATTTACGTTATCAGCTTTTAATTTTAAAGTTTTATTATCTGTTATCTTATAATTATTATTATATCTGTATATTTAAAATTTATAATAAATAAATTTATTTTATTGTTATTTAAATTTTGTTAATATTTGTAACTAATTAATTAATATATCTATGTTTATTATTTGTTATAATCATCAAATCAATTACACTAATATTTTTAATAAATTATTTATTTAGTTTTTTGTTTAAATTGTTATTAGAATAAATTAAATTATTTTAGTAATTTATTTTAAAATATTAAGTGTTGACTGATTAGATGATGTAATTTTCAATATTTTAGATTAATAAATTAATATATTTTAAATAATAAAAAAATGTTTTATTGAATTTGTTAATTTTATTTATAAAAATTTTATTTTTATTCATTATAGTTTACAATAACTTGACATCAAAATAATGTAATAGATTATCTACATTAATGAAAGGACATAATAAAATATAATCCAATAAATTATACAAATATATTGATTTGAATGTATGATTACTGTATTAATTAAAACCTCGTTTCCATTGTTTGCATATATCCTAAACCGTTTGAGTTTCAGTGCCAGTCATTGATAGATCTGTTACTCAATTAAATTGTTTATTCATATTATGAATATTGATATCTTATTGATAAAAACTATTATCTGATAACATAGGTTTACAACACTGACAATAATAAAAGAAAGTAATGATCAGAAAATAAATTAAAATTAACTAAATAAAGGGTTTTAAATAATTATAAGCCATTTTGTCATTTATAGGCCAATGATTTTAATAGTGATTTTAATCGCGTGAAGTCACTCCTTGTCGTCGACTCTTTGTTTTCTAAAAAAATAAAATTTAAATTATTAATTATATATATAATATATATAATAATTTAGATAGTTATCAAATAGTTAATTATTGTAATATTATCATTGATTTTTAAACTGTTAATCAACCCAACAATAGTTGTAATTCAATAATAAATAAAAAATCACATCTGACTTCATATATAAATCTATAAATCACTTATATATTTAAAGTTATGTTTACTTTATAAAAAAATCTCAAAATTACAATAATAAAACAGTTTCAACAGTAAATATGTTTACCAAATAACAATCATCTAACATAATCACATAATATTAGTTTCTTATATATATTGAATTGGTATTTAATAAGTTATAGTTTAATAGATAAACATTTTTAATGAAAAAAATATATATTGATAGAAAAATTAAGATATTGTAAAATCAATAAATAGACAAATTTACTAACAATATTATCATACATATATGTAAGTGTGTTATATGACTGATTGTATAATTTATTTACTATTAATAAGTGGATTTTTACTATAGCCATAATTATTTTAAGTATATCAAAATACTAGCATTTTCTATAAATTAAAAAATATATTATTTTATTTCAGATTTTCTAAAAATATATATTAAAATAAAAAATAATAATCAATAAATTGTTGAAAATAATATTAAAACTTTGATTGATAAAATAACATTAGCTTATTTAATGATTTTTTTAACTCACATTAACTTAGTTAATAAATAATTAATTCAGTATGAAAATTTTATTTATAAATAAATTTTGACCTCTATATATATATATATATATATATATATTAATATTTTTAACTATAAGTTAATCACTAAAGTTATATATAAGTTAAAGTCATTGACAATTAACAGTTACCTTCGGATGTAAATGAAAATGATTTTAAGTGATCCTTAAAAGCAGTCAAACGTCGCTTATTTGCGTCCAATGAAGTGTTTTCATTGATTGTTGAATCCATCGCTAATTTATCCGATTCTATGCTATTTTTGTCGCCGTATTTCTCAAGTATAGCTTCAATCAGTTTTCGCTTATGTATTGATGTGTGCTCTGGTAGCTAATTATTCAATGGTTTAATTATTTATTTAATATTTCATTTTTAATAAATATTAACTATTATATTTAAATAAATTATTAAACACATTACAAATATTATGCTAACTATTTATATATTTTTTAAGCAACAAAACATTATAAAATAATAAAATAAATGACAATTAATAAATTATATAATTCATCATATTATTATATTAAATATTTATAAAAAAATATGATAAAAACAAATGTAATATAAAAATACAGACCAAACTAAGCAAACTATTATCAGCTCTTCTACCCATTCGTGGTATTGATTTGGATCCGGTTTTTGTGAAGAACTGGCCATCGCTTACAATAAACAACTCAATCAATACAATCAATCCAAACATGAATTTTATATAAGACGTGGTTTGCATTTTAACAAATTGTTTTAATAATAATTCAATTCTATTCTATAATAAAATAAAAATTTTAATAATTAATTAATTTTAAAAGAGTTTTATAAATATTTTATAATTATATATTAGTTAATATTTTTTAAATAGTAGTTTAGATATTGAAATATTATTTAATGAATACAATTACAAAAAAGTTTGCTTATTTTGTTTAATTTTTAAAACAGAAAATAGTAAATATAATTAAACTAAAATATGAAAAGTAAAAAAATGTGAACTTTCTTTTTTTAGTATTTAGTTTATAAAAAGACAATATCAATATAAATATAAATTATTGTTATTATATTTTAAATAGAATACACATAAACTAAAATAATGAATAAAAATAAACATTACCTCAATATTTATTAAGATCTTTAAAATTAATGATTAAAATTTGTATAATACACATAAAATACAATTAACTGAATTTTTGAATTTAATATATATTAAATTTATTAAATAAAGGGTGAAAACATAATAAAAAGTAAATCTTTTACAAATAACTGAAATATTATATTTATATTTATATACAATATTAAATATATTATAGTTTACTAAAAGTTTAATAAAAACTTTTAAAAGATGTGTATTATATATAACCTTCTGATATGAGTCTCATTTAAAGAGAGGAACGACTGTCTAATGATAAGGACAGTGCACTTACTTTTATGAATCTTATATTTCCATTCATAATACGGTAAATAATTAAAAAAAATGTTGTGACTAACAAATATCATATTTATCACAAAATTTATGTTAATTTTTTATTTTAATAAATACTCTTATCATATAAATAAAATCATGGATAACCTAAAGCTATTTTTATTTATAATTTACAGTAAAAATCCAATATCTCAGTGAACGACATTGAAGTATAAATATAAATAAATAAAATTGTAAACATTTATGAAATAAAATATGATTTAAGTAAAAATACAAAAATAATAATATTTTTTAAATATTGTTATTAAAACAATATAATTTATCAAACTAAATAAATAAAATATAGTTTTTTATTAACTTACCAAATGAAAATAAAAAACGTATTAATATTATTGAAACAAAATTATCAACAATTTTTACTATAAAGATATTCAATGATATTTAAAAATAAAAAATCTTTGCTTTTAATGATTGAAATATCAAATGAATTTGATTTCAATTGAAATTTAAAATTAAAAAAAAGATTATCAAATCGCTATTTTGAAACTATCGTTTCAGTTGACAAAATTTACGGGTCAAATCATATACTGTAGATATATAGTTAAATATCTCAGTTGACGTAAAATTGATGTTTTATTTAATATTATTTAATAATCCAACAAAAGCTTTAATTCATTATAAAATCATTGGTTATTCAATGATTTGTGTATTAAAAACAGATTTATAAAATGAATAAAAACTTTTATCTCTTGACAATTAGTCGGTTATTAATACTATTTAGAGTACGATTTTTTAAATATCTAAATATACAAAATTAAACTTTGTTTTATTTGGTAGACTAATGACTATTTACTTCAAAATACTATACATGATAAGCGATCAAACATTATGAAGAAATAAGTAATGTTAAGCATAATTGAAATTACTTTTTAAAAAATACGATAAACTTTCCAAAAACATTTTAAAAAGTGTTTTTATAAGAGAAACTTTATAATTAACTAAAATTTATTATAACAAAAAAAATATTACATCTATTACAGAAGATTAAACTAAAATAATACATAATCAAGATATAATTTTAGTATTATTTAAAATGATTTTTAAAAGTCAAAACTCATTTATAATAAAATTAATTTATTTAACTTATAAACAAAAATATAAACAATAATTTATTAATTATTATAAATGTTTTACATTATAATTCTATCAATTATTAGATTTATCAAATAATATTTTATTTAAAAGTATTTACAAATTTTCAATTATTTATTTTTATTGTAACATATGCTAATAAATTTGTTGTGTTTGATTAAACTCAATTAATTGTTATTAATATTTAAAAAGTTTTATATTTAGTAGGAAAAATTTCGAGAAAAATTCATAAAATAAATTTCTAGTCGCCCAACACTAGACATAATTTAGTTAAATCGTTATTATAAAATAGTTATAAACTAACAATACGTTCAATTATATGTTTAATTTTTCAATTAATTAAATACATTAATTCATATGTTATATTAAATAATTGTTTTCAAAATAAATTAGTGTATTTATTAAATGATTTTAATGAAAAAAAATTAAATGCGGGTATTATTATGGTATTAATTACAAATATAAAAGATGATTTATTTATTAAATAATTTTTATGTTACAAATTATTTAATTATTGATACAAAAAAATATTTTATTAAAAACCTCTAGCATTATAAGTCATTTACAATGCATTAATTAAATATAGAGTAAATTTATGCATTAATTTATATACAATATGAATACAACAAAATGTCGATAAATTATATAACTTTCCAATTTAGTCTATATTAACAATACTAATATTTTTTAGAAATTGCATTGATTTGTTATACGGCAGGCATTGAAACATTGTTTTTATGTGAATCTCACGTTTCCGACAAACTATTATTGCGGTACAAACATCTTATTTTGATATATCAATGTATGGATGTCTGAATATTTATTATCTAAAGTTTCAATCCTATCAAAAGTTATTGAAGAAAACCTGTCGGTCTTAAGAAATTGAAACATATATTGTAGAGTATTAATAATGTAAATCATTTCAAACGTTTCATAAAATAGTTTAGCTAAAAGCCAGAGAAATCACATAAACCTTCACATCGACTGATTGTCAATGATATTTGAGAAAATATTAATATAATAATATAATTATTTTATAATTTAAATTTATTATAGTTTGGAGGATAGACTATAAACTTTAAAACAGCTATTCAACTATAATTATAATTCATATTAAAATATTAATTGTATTAGAAATAAAAATTTTGTTTCTTTTTATAAAATGTAATACATATGAATAGTCGAATTATGTATTTTAATATATCTAAATCTAAATTTAACAAATTAATCTAACACAAATATACTAACTAGATGATATTTTTTGGTTAGATTTGTTTAAACTAAATATTTATTTAACATTTATATGAAAATACATAATATATATGATATTTTGTAGATATTTTACAAATCAATGGAAAAAAAGTAAAATTATATAAATATATTATTGATTGTATACTAAATTATTATAATTGTAAATTAAATATTATTTTAAAATGCAAATATGTTTTTAAAAACTAACAGCTATTACTCAATACTAACTAACTTAAAGCACTTAATAATTATTAAAATATTTAAGATATATTTATCAAGAAACGATAAACATGTAAACAAATTTTTTTAATAATTTTATTTTCAATATCAGAGAAACAATTATTAATAAAAAATTAATTATTAGTAAACTAAGAAAACTGTGAATTTAAGTGACAATATCTCCAACACGTGAACTGTAAGTCATTGTTAGTTAACTGTAAGACTTGTGTAAACCTTCAGAGTATATCTTTCGTTGCAATTATTGACTATTCAACCAATGAGTTCATCACTCTTATAAACCGTGATTTTTTACAGTAATTTATTATATCTGAAATTAATTAAAAAAATATGATAAACAAATTTATTTATAGATTTGTCATTCAACTGTTAATAGCTTAAAATATAAAGAACTTTTATATTACTTTTTTGATTCAAAGTATATTAAATATTTAATTTTGTTTACCATTTAATTAATAATAAAACAAATTTATCTAAATAATAAATTATTTTTAACACATTTTTAAAATGTGCTAATATTGTATATAATGATTATATATATATACTTTATATAAATAAATCACATAATAATATGTGGGTACCATCACGTTTAATATTTTAAACAACAAAACATTTTTTATTTTATTTATAATTTATATTTTCATTATATAATTTATATAATAGATAATTAGTTAAATTATAAATAGTAAATTTTAAATATAAATTTCATTTCAAAATTATATTAAATTTTTATAATATATCATTTGTTTGAATTAAATTATTTTTTATAAATTAATTCTTAATTTAATCATTATGATAAATTAAATATTAAATAATAATAATAGTAATAATAATAGTAATAATAATAGTAATAATAATAGTAATAATAATAGTAATAATAATAATAAGGTAAACTAATTGGTTGCGTCGTTCATCTTTGATAGCCATGGATTACAAACTGGGATCAGATTAACGACAGCTTCACAAATGTTGACAATATCGTCGACATCTAAACAAAAGTTTTAAAAAATAAATATTTAATTATTATAAAGTTTTGTTTTATTTTAAAATCTTACTATTAGTCGGATGATCGGCTCGTTTGCCAAAAATGCTGCCATTAAATGGTGGCTTTCGGTAACCGGCGTCACACATACCAAACACCAAAACCAGTGCCAAAATGAGAGCCGTTAGACATACAAAACTATGCGAAGACATTGTAATTGTTTTATAATCAGTATTATTGTAAACCTTTTTTATAGATTTAGATATCTTATACTTAGATACTTATGATGTTTGAGATGAAATCGACTTTTGTCGTCGCCTTTTATATACAATTTTTGGATCAAAATAAGTGACAAATAGTGTGCACTTCTATACAAACAATTGGTCACTAATTGAGTTTATAAAACCAAACTAACATTTAGTATATCATTAATATTACTGTTTCTCCATAAATCTCGAGAGAAATTTATGACAAATAATAGACTTATAATATAATATTATATACCGTATATCCAGTATATTAAGTTTTGTGACTTAAACAGAAATAAATATTGTTTTAGTGCTAAACTTAAAATACATTTAAATATAATTGAGTATAAGGTTTGCCTAAATTGAATTATTTATTAGATTATGTGCTGATATATTGATAAAATAAAATGTTTAAACAATATATTTTTATATTGTTTGTATAATAAAGATCTTCAGATATTTAAATTTAACTAATTTAACAAAAATAATAATTAAAATAAAATTTAAAAAATAGTAGTCAATAATAATTAATGTATAATATATTTTTATTAATATTATATTGTTTATTTCATACAAGTTATTTCACTGCCATATACATTGTGTTAAAATTATTTGAAAATACAATAGTTTTGACACAATCTTTAAATATAATATAATACAAAATTTCATAAATATATTTCAATAATATTTTTAATGTTTAATCACAACTCAATGTATATAAATTAAATTTTTGCTTCAAATAAGGTTTTGATAATATTTCAAAATTTGACTTAGAATCTCATCAAATTATGACTTTAAATTATGTTTAAAATAAAACAATACAATTTGTTATGTAATTTACATAAATTGCAATTAAATAGAATAATTAAATTATAAAAATCTTTAAATAAATGTAAATTAAATTTTATTAAAGGCAATGAATATTTGTCCGAACATATAATTATTTGAAACAAAAATTTTATTTATTTTACAAAATTATAATAGGATTACAATTTATATATATATATATATATATATATACATATATAAATAAAAGCACACAAAAATCATAGCTATTATAATAATATAAATTTTATAATAGCTTTATTTATTAATCATATATTTAACTTACATCAATAGGAATGCATAACATTATTATTGTTTTATTACTTTTATAATATTTTTATTACATAAATAATTGGACGGACGTTATCTCTATTTTTTTATTGATTAATATTATAACAATAATTCAATAAAATTTTTTGTCATGTAAATAATTTTTTTAAATATTTTAGTATTTTTTCATTCAAAACATGATTTCATTATTTTAAATAATTGATATATCAATGAACAACAATCATTGTTTATCATTTAAAAAATCATTTAAACAGTTTAAGGCATAAAATACTCATAATTGATAATAAATAAATGATTAACATATTGTAATTTATGTTTTAAACATTATTTACTTTTTTTAAATAAATGTTTTTTAAATACTATTGTTATTTAAACTTATACTTTCATTTTTACCCTATATATAATTTTAATGTTTAAGTACTAATTTTATAGTTAATATTTATAATTATATGTTACTAATAGTTATATTTCTAACTATTGTATATATTCTACTGTATTATTGTATATATATAATAGTAATTTATAAGCATTATAATAACCTAATAATCAAAAGATACAATATTATAGACACAAAAGATACATGTTTTACTATTATTTAATTAGTATTATGTATTATTATATGACAATTATAATTTATAATTTTTATGGACATATTTGTTTAAATTGATATATTGTATGATATAATTATTGTATTGTATCATATAATAAAATATGAAATTTGTTCATTTTCACAATGTGTCAACAATTTGGTAAAATGTAAGTCTTATATAGTTATAAACATTTCAATAAAACCCAATTTTAATATTTAATATTTAATATTAAAATAAAATATATTATAATTGGGTTGTATTTTATTGTTAATTTGACACAAATATTATTTAAATTTTGCTCAATTAACGCATTTTATGTTAGCACAAACTCAATTTAAAATGTTATTAAAAATGATTAACAAGTGCATTAATGAGCAAGGTCACTTTCATATGCCAACTAAACAATGATTGTGAAATGTGGTCAATATATGTTTGCTTAATAACAAAACAACGACAATAAACAGTAAATCAAATCACTTTTATTTAAAATATCAATTATGATTATTTATATTTTAAAAAGATGATTCATATTTTTATAATAAATATTTACTGTAAAAATTTTAATTTAGAAATCTATTAAATAAATGAAATAAATGAAATATACGGTAAATTTAAATATATATTTCACACATTTCTCACCACTGTTTAGTACAGTTGTCTCAAAAAAGTTTACCAAATTTTTACACAATTGTCTTTCGTTATTATTATTACTTTAAAAGATGACAACAAAATTTTAGTATATTTATCTTATATATAATTTATAAACAAACTTTTATGAAATTAATTTTGAATTTATTTATCTTAAAATGAGCACCAAATGAAGGAATCCTTTCAATTATATACATTTCAAATCTTTCAATACTTTTTTAATTTCATATATCTTTAATTATGTGTTTACATGATTTAAAAATACCAACCATAAGTTTATGAAAAGGTAATGATTAACTATAATAGATATGAATAATTATATATAGAAATTATAGATATATATAGTATATAGTATTTGATGAAATTATAATTGAGTTTTTAAGAGCAGATCCTTATATTTTAAAAAGAAACTACAATTAAAATGACATTTTGAGCACAATTTGGGTCTAATTATGGAATGTTTTATAATGTATAGAGTTTTGTCAACGGGATTACAATTATTATCACATAAATTAAATTTAATACATAATTATGATAATAAAAATAATACAGTATTGATATAAGTAATTCTTTAATAAGATTTAAAGCAAAATACTAGAGTTAATGTAAAATTAAGAATTAATTTAAATTGTAAATAAAAGCACCAAAAACTAAGAGATAATAATCATAAAAGATTTTACTTATTTTCTCTTAAAAAGATAATTAAAAATTTGATTAAAAAATATATTATTATTATTAAGTAACTATATTTTATTTTTAAAATGATTTTTATAAGTAAATAGATAACGTCATTGAATAAAACAGATATTTAACAACTCAAAAAACTAATTTAATAACAAATCATATTAAACGTATATTAATATTTAAAATGTTTGAAATAACATTATTTTAAACATTTTGCATAGACATAGACAGCAATTAAAATTTAAGAAGTTATAATAAATTTGATACACTTAAAAACAAATAGACTAAATAAGACTAATAAAATTGGTCCATGGTTAATTTGAACAATTCATTAATATTTAAATGAAATGTGCTAGTGGATATAAAACAAAATCAACTAAAAACAAATTGATTTTAATAGATGGCGCATAGTAACTTACAAAAATAAGTTATCAATAATAAACTACTATAGATATAACAAATGCACTAAAGTAGACCATTCAATACACCATTTATTAAAATCAAGATTTTGTTTTTAAAGTTGAAATTGTTTTAAGTATTTTAGTCCCAACTTTAATATACCATAAATTTAATAGTAAAAAATAAAAATAAAATTTATTTTACGAAAAATGATATGTCTTTCTTGTTTTTTTTTTGAATTCTTGTTTTGATAAAATTGTCTAAGAATTCACATAATTATATCACTTTTAGTTATCAAATTGATAATATAAATAGTCATTAATTAAAACTATTGTGTTATATGTATATTATTTTATAAATTAAAATATATATATGGAATGTTATGCCTTAAACTAACAAATGTAACAATTAGGTGGGTTATGAGCAATTAAAAATAGTCATATCAATTTAAATAGATGTGACCATGGTAGTCAAAATGGAAATTTATATATTCACCAAAACTTTAAAGTTATTTTAAATAATGACTAATAAATCGATATACATATCAAGAAGATAGTTATTTTATGTATTAAATTTTTAGGCAATTTATTTACATTTTAAAAAACAAATTATCTACTTATTGGGCTCATTGTCCATTAAAATAATTAAATTAATTAAAATTCAATTTATTGTTAGTATTAATACTGCATAAAATAACTTCAAATAATGTGACACAAATATAATGAATTTCATTATTCTTCATCAATTATATTGATTATTATTATTATTACTATTATTATTATTACTATTGATTATTATAGTAATTGTTATTAGATTAAATGAGATGTTTTCAAATCATCAATATCATTCACGTGAAACCTATTTTGCCAATAAAGAAACAAAAAATATACATTAATTATTTTAATATAAAATATAGATATAAATTTAGACTATTTTGCAATTAATTTATAGTTCTCTACCAAATAAAAAGTACTTAACTTAATAAAGTGTTTGCTAACATAATCAAAATGTAAATATAGTTTATAGATATATTTAAGGTAACAGATGGGCATTATTTGAATAAACAATTATAATAAATAAAATAACAATTTAATTATGTTAACAAAATAAATTTATAATAAATAATATTAATAAAATCTTAATACATTCAGAATAAATTAAATCAATTTTGATAATAATTTTTTTTTTGAATACAGTAGAAGCTCTCAAATAATAGGACAGGGAGGAGATGGAGTAACTATGTATACAAATCATTATTTATAAATTAATATATAATAAAAAAAATAATAGGAATATAATATAAATAAATTGATTAAACTAATATTAAATCTATACAGTATTTGAAAAAACAGTTTAAAATTATATTTGAAAATTAATTCAATGGTAGACTTATAGACTAACTATACTTTACTAACAGATCGGCAAAAACAAGAGTCTCTCTACTGTACTCATATCTGTACGCTAAGCACCCATAGATGTGTGATCATTGGGTGTACAGTGTATTAAATGATATAATGTTGTGATCTTACAGTGCAATTAAGTTGTAGTAGTTGTTGGTCTGCCATCTTATTCTTGGCGTATTCAATCCTCATCCCTCCGCGGTCTGAGGAAAACAATACATATGATTGAAGTGCATTCATTGCATGTGACGCTAAGCGCACGTCCTATTGTGAAATTACCGACAAATTATTATAACTTTTTCAACAAATTAAATAAATGTTTAACTGATTTAATCACTGGACACTCTCTAACTTCATCACCTATTGTTTTTAAGATGTCTAAGAATAATATATCTCTTATTTGATTATCATTTATATTATTTTAGATAATTAATTGAATTTGAAAAGCTATTGACATTTTACGGGTAAATAAAGATAGACTGCGCTTAACTACTAGAAAACAACAAAATTAAACTAAAAACATGTAAAAAATAAAGTAAAATAACAAAAACACGATTTTCTACTTAATTATAGATTTGTATTTTGAGAGCTTATTTTTGTAGAAAATAAGGGAAATGGAGGACAAACAGAGTAAAAATAAAGGGATATAAAGTAATGAAATAATGAATTGGTGATGAAAATAATGGTAGAGTGAAGTGATGGGTGATTTAGTGTAAAAAATATAATGGTGTATACCGTGTACTCAACGAAGGCAACAGGTGCTCCTCCCTTGTTATGCATCCGTAAGCGACAAAATCCTGGGAAACTGTTCAACACATGACATATGATATGATAACGATTTACAACACAGACTTTTATAGTATTTGTTAAGTCATATTAAACAACAAAATGAATTATTTGGTTTGCAATTTGATTATTATTTATGAAAGTTATGGTTTAAAACTGGTTGACTCTATACCTCCCAAATAGGTCTTTGAGTTCTTGTTCTGAGACATATTGTCCCAAATTGGCTACAAATAGTGTAGAACATGGAGGGGTTGAACAGTTTGAAGTCGCCGAACCAACAGGACTGGCTAAAGCAGGACTAGTGGCCACTAAATGCTGTGGTGGTATAGCTGCATGAATTGCTGCCTGACTGGCCAGGGCTGCCGCGTGACTGATAGGATGCGGTACTGCCAACTGTGGCTATAGTAGTAGATATAGATATGATTCAGATTTTTTAACAGTGCATTCAAACTATAACACAACTCATATTATATGTGATATCATGTGGTTTAGTGTGTGGTAACTGTGATAGTGTGTTATGTGATGTATTAAGACCTATCACCTAATACTATACACTACTATAAGCACTTTGATTAAGACAATAGTAGACTATATTGACTACATTAGTATCACTAATAGCTCTATCAGATATACTATCAGACTATCATTTATTAGTTATATAGTGTTAAAGATATCAAGTTTGAGACCATATTGTGTTATTGATTATGTGTTAACATTAATATCTGCATTGAATTAATTTTGTGTTTTCATTTAATTGAAAGACATGTCATGTCATGCAATCTATATTCAATTAAATACATAACAAATACAGAGTGTAAAACCCAAAGGAGTTGTAAATAATGTAAATCACTATAAAAGAGATGAAAGACAATACACCGATTGTGTGATCACAAGTCAAATACAATTGTATATATACTGTATATAATACAAACACTATTAAACATATCAACTGCTAGTATAGCAAAAGTCTGGCAAACTTTATATATAATATTTTTATCTCATATTTGTGTGATATATGTGAGTGTAAGCATGAAAGTGTCATTTCAGGGGATTTCTATTGTCTATTGATTGCTTAGGCTATAAATTAAATAGTTTATGTATATTATGTATATTATACATAATATACAGTATTATTATAATATAATCATTTCATAAACAACACTTCATTTGAATTACCGGTACTAAGGGAAAGACAGATAGAGGGGAGAGACATACAAAAGTGTTACACAATTTACACAATGTGTTAATGAGATATACATTTTAGGGTTAATTTGTTTTTTGTGTGCTTTTTATAATGAGTTGCTTTTGTCAGTGCTTTGGGATCAACGATCAACACGTCTATTATCAGACAAATATTACTTGATATGTATGTCTCTTATAATATTATATTATTTTTTCTATGCAAACAACTATTTATCAATTTTTATTATATTGTATTTAATATATCATTTTTCATAATTTATTTAATATATATTATAAGTAACTCCAGGAAAATATTTTATATATAAAGTTATATTAATATATTAGAGTTTTGTAAAGTTTAACATAAATTCATTTTATTCAATAAATTATATTAAATTTTGATTAAATTTTGCACAATTTTTTATAAATGATTGGTATTAATTAATAATATATGTAATTATTGTATGTATAAATATTGTTTTTGAAAGTTAATTAATAAAGGTGGAATTATTTTGTTGACTGATGTATAACAATTGTTTAGTCACTTGTTATTATTAATAGATACTAACTCAACACATGTATTAGTATACATTAAAATAACAATTTACTTGTTTTTAGTTTTATATTAATATTTACTCCAAAGTTTGATACGTTTGCAAATATAATTGATTAATACATTATATACATACACATAATCACTCGTTTGTCACATAACATAACATATAGTATATTCTGGAAATCATCGAAACTGTCTCTTATAATATATAATAATTAGTGTAAATATTTTTAAAAATAACAACATCATTGATATGTTTTATGTTATAGTAGATTATTGTTGATGTTGTTAAAGGTATGGTCAATACCAACTAACCGGTAACTGGGCGTGAAGTGCCGGGTGCATAATATGAGAGTTGAAAGCAGAGGGCATTTCGGTGAATGACAAGGGATGGTGAGCCCAGCCATCGTGCGCTCCCGAGAACAGTGCGGCTCCCAATTCAACTGTTTTCATAAATAAATATCGCAATTATAAATCAATATAACAAATATGTTATGGTTATGATTAATAATTGTGGTTAACATTTTACAATGATTAATGCTTAAAGACATAAATAACTTACGGCCTGTCAAGGGATGCATAGCCAGAGCAGGATGTGTTGCCAATGCTGGGGGTGACGATTGTTGCTTAGGTTTACTCACTTTGGTATTACTTTTGGCAAACTCTAGACGTATGGTTTGCGGCAAATCGGGATCGAAACGGATTCCTTGCTGTAGAATAAAAACAATGACAAAAACGGATTAATTTATTTATTTTTAATAATCAAACAAACAATCAGTATATTTTAGATATTAATATAAAGTTTCATTTGTTTTAGTAGAAATATTTGGGTTTATTGTATACAGTATGTGGAAAATAAATTGATAATGAATAATGAAATGGGGATAAACATTGAAGGCATTGATATAAAAGTATTTAAGCGGACAATCTATAAATAAAGTAAACCAACAATCAATAAAAATTAAGAAACACTGTCTTCTATTTACTGTATATACTGTATATAAACTACTGTTTCCTATAATATATCTAAAAAATAAACTTATATAAAACATTTTCTATATCTTTTAGTTTACAAAACAATTTATATTAGAGTTAAGCTTTTATTTTGATGTTATGTGTGTTGGAAATCCTTTTGGGACGTCAACTAAAATGACAAATAAATTCAGTGCCCAAACATTTCTCTTTTCACTTACTTGTAAATCTTGTTTAGCGGCCTCAGCACCGGCACGGGTTGAAAAAGTAACGAATCCAACGGGCTGTCAGACAAACAAATAACAATATTTTACAGATCAGACAAACAAAATAATGCTCTCAAAAGTGTTTATATATAAAAAATATAATAAATAAAAATTGCCAACATTTTTATATTGATTAACACATTATATAAAAGTGCATCAATTATTAGGGGACAAACACATTGGTTTGAGACTTACCGATGATGTCTTGCCATTCTTGGACGTCACCTTCAATAGAGAGCCTTCATATCCCTGTCATAACATATTACAACATTTTAGTTAAATAAATACTTCACATATTTTATAATTTTAATTTTTTTTAAACAAATGTAAAAATTTTATATTTTGTTCATTTAAACTGATTTTTATACCTAATTTTAGTTAACGTTCAATTATGTAAAAATGTCAATAAAGATTTTTATTTCTATAATATTTAAACTTTTAAATAATAATTCTCTAAATAATATGATATTACAGTAACTTTTTATTTTAATGTTAAATTTAATGTTGCTTAAGGTTATAACAAATAGTAAAATATAGCAACTTTGCATTATTTTCTTGTTGCTAAAAATATAAAATAATCAATATTTAAATTTTAAAGTATGCATTTTTAATAGTTGAATATTATTGTAAAAATTACTGTAATTTTTGTCACTTATAATATAAATCATATATGATAATATACTATTAATACTTTAAAAAATACCAAAAAATATTGCTAGAGATTTGTATTTAGGCATTTTAAAAATCAACATTTTATTTATATTTTAATTTTTATAATTTATTTTCTATTTATGAACATTAATGTAAATGATTTCGATTTTAAAAGAAACTACTATTATGATTATTATAAATTTAATTTCTATTAAATATCTATTTATTATATATTTAAAAATATACAATTAACAATTTATATTTGAATCAATTAATTGAATAATATTAATAAAAGATAACACTATACTATATTAAATTTTATCATTAATATAAGCCTAAAGGTTTGTCTAGTTTTTGCAATTTATTGATTCATTTTACAATCCAATTTATAAGTGCTAATATGAATAGAAAATTATAAATTATGACAATAAATATAACCTATTATAAATCTAATATATTATACTGTATGCTAACTACCTGATATAACATGTAAAATATAAGACTAACGCATATATTACTATATTAAACTTAATAATATGTTGTTATAATATACTGAACAGTATATACATTACTGATACTTATAATACTTGGTCTTTATGGGCTGTCATTTATAAAATATATACAAACAGTATGTATAGTATATATTTTGTGGTTAAACACAGCTTTTTCATTGTTAACTGTCGCTATAAATGATGTGCTTTTATTGAAATTTCTATTATTAATGCATATATTTATAGTCTATTTTTTGGTCAAAAAAACATTTTCATGTGTTATAAAAACATACTGTAGAAGTGTATATTGTAACCATCAATACCTTATAAGCTCTAAAAAGCAGATATAACTCCCTGGGCTTGGCGTCCATCGGCAAACCGCTGACAAATAGTGTTCTCACCTGCAATCGTACAAAAGATATATTTATTAGTATATATATAGTTAGCATAATATAGATTATATAATAATATATAACATTAATATAATTGTTTATAAAAAATAGATTAAAATTTTGAGCTCTCTTTCTCTCTCTCTCTCTCTCTCTCTCTCTCACACACACACACACACACACACACACACACACACACACACACATAAACACACATTCACAAACACACACACGCATATAATCTATATATATAGTTTTGTTTATAAAATAGATCACAATTTCTATGGAAACATTAGATACATACACATATACTTTTTTATATTAAATGTCTATCTATTCACTATTATTGTAATATTTAATAAATAAAGAAAAATAATGATTTCAAAGCAAAAGAAAAATATACAAAATTATTGTATATAAATGTGAAAAATACCACATATATTATACTATAGTACTGTTAATATTTATCAAAGTTTTATATTATATTAGACTTATATTGATTATCAAAATTATATTTTATACAGCATTCAAAATATAAAAAATTATGTTATAATGTTTTTCAAAAATACATTTTTTACACAATACATTATATTATTTTCTTACATTTATAATTAATTTATTATGCAAGAAAAAATATAAATTGATTGTTTGCTAAAAATTCATGCATTTATTTATTAGCTTAATTTATTAGCAATAAATGATGATAATATTTTACAATTACTCAATTAATAAATACAAGAAGTGTATCAATAATCTCATTGAATACTTAAAATTAAATTACATAATTAATGCTATTTTTGTAAACATACAAACGAATACAGTATATTAAACATTAATTTTCATATAATTCATAGAATATTCTATATAATGATTATTATTAGTGAGATATAATTTTCTAAATATATATATATATATATATATATACTTTGTATGTATGTATGTATGTGTTTAATGTTAGGGTTTGCCAACAATATTATGGTTTAAGAAAAAGAAAATTCGCTTAAATTAAAGAGTATTAAGAATAGAATACAGAGAGAGAAGTCAATAAGCATTTACTCGTTTATAGCAATATTGTGTACTAAAGCTTTTGGAAATCTTTTATATATTGCTATCTTATATAGAAAACTACTAAACGATTGTAGTCTTTATATGAAAAACAAAGGCCTCAAAGCACTGATTTTTTTGTATAGACTTATATACATTATTTTATATATAATATATATATATATATATATAAAGAACACGATTTTTGATACCAAAATATTAACAAAAGTGGTCCAAAATGAACGGGATATTGGTTTTCGCTATTATTTGCTTTAATATTAGCAGTGGATTGTACTCAACACTCATATAACAATCATATAATGGAAGTAATGTCTTATTGAATAGCATTTGTAAGCCACAAAAAACAACCAATAAATACAAACATTTTTAATTTACATTACAAAAAGTAATTTTCAGTTGTCATGAAATATTATTTTTAAATTTTCATTAATTTTTAGTTAATATATTTAAAACGTTGTTTGCATATTAATTAATTTCTATAAATACAATTATATTTAATCAATGGATAAATCAAATTTTTATTTATTATTCAAATTATTAAAACATTTCATTCCCAATACTTAATACGTTAGTTATATTACACTACTTTCAAATGTCATTAACTACCGGTGTATGTTTAATCAGACAATTTATGTCTAATTTGACAATTTTTAAGGGTTCATAAAATACCTATATTATCATTAAAGTAAATTTATATCAAACACACAAATAACTAAACACTTTTATTACATAAATTAAATAAATATTGAAAAATAATCAAATATAAAGATTTCTCAAAAAAGAAGTGATCAATCAATACATAATAAAGTTATTATTATTATTGTATATCTATTATGATTCAAATATTAAATATATTTTTATGTTGCTATCCATAGTATTTTCATCTGTTATAACAATAATAACTATTATTAATAATATCAATGATATTGTAAGATAAATGTTACAATAAATATTTAGTTACTTAACAATGTAAACTGTATTTACTATACATAGATTATTTTTAAAATATTATATATATTGTTATTTTTATATATTTTATCGAATATTTTAAATCAAATATTATAGAAATTATATTTATTTCATTTATTTTCTAATATTTAAAACAATGCTAAACTAAAATTTATATTTTTATTAAATATAACATAATTATAATTTATTTGTATTATTTTGAATCTACTGTTAAAATAACCACAAAAAAACTTTTTAAGTTATTAATGGATATAATTTATATATTAGTCTTTTGCCATCATTAGGATTGTTTGAAAAGGAGAGCACAAAACAAACGGTAAAAACATTGACACACAAAACAATAATAATAATAATAATAATAATAATAATTGTAATAATAATAAAAATGTTGTGCAAATTGAATAAAAACAGTATAACTGTTATATACATAATAAGTGCTTTGTTTTAAGCTATGTTTGTTTGGTAAACATTTGTAACTAACTGTTCCTATTTTTTTTCTACCGTTTCTTATGAACACTGGATTTAATAGTGTAGTCAATGTTAGAGTAAATGAGACTGGGATGAGATGGCAGGTATTTATTAATATAATTATCGTTTAGACAGTACGGGTCGCTACTATCCATTGTTTGGTGTATAATATCATCGATATATGTATTGCGTGTCTGTATGTCTGTTACCAACATTTGTTGGTTACTATGCCATCAAAGTCTTGACAAACACTAAGCAATTGTATGTCTGTATAAATGTGTTTCTCAATCATCTGCTCCGTCCCTATGGTAACAGCAATGAGTTGTATGACTGCTCTCACCTATCGATCCAAACCAATGCCGGAGACCCTCAGGTAAACAGTCGGTTAGATATATATATATATATGCGATGAGGGATATGGATGTCGACTACATTCAAACAATACTCACCTCAACTATATTACATGATTTATATAATTAAAAATACCACAAATACTTTTTATCTTTATCTTTCATTGTTTAAATAATATTTTTATCACACATTTTATAATTTGTATTATTATATAATATCATATAATAGTATTACAAAATAGTCATTATTGATTAATCAATCAATTTTAATTTTAATAAATTTAATAATTTACATAATAATAGTAAATTTTAGTTTTTATTAATTGTTTTGAATAATTTAATATAATACACAAACATACAATACATATACATATATATTGTACATACAGTATAATATAATATAATATAATATATTAATACATACAGAGAGATAAATCAATGAAAATAAGTAACAAACTATAAAAATCTATAGAAATAAAACATAAAATTCTTTTTTCAAAAAAAACTGATTGAAACCACAAATTCATTTCAATAGTTATTTACTATGTTTTGGTCACATCTTTCTCTATCATCAAGTTTTGGTCTCAAAATATTTCAATTTACTTATTAAGTCTATTATTTTTTAAATTTTTCATATGATTAACTATTTGTCAAAAAAATAATAATAATTATTATTATTATTTAATGTTAATATAAATATTTTGATCACAAAAAGCATAAATAAGACAGAAATCGATATCAAATACAGGATTTTATAACATTGAGTGATAAGCCGTGAGCTAAAAAACGATGCTTTTGTAATGTCTTATCGTAAGCCTATTAGTATTGCTTTTAGCATATATTTTATATACAGTATAATTTTAAATAATAAATCATTTTACAAGTTAGAGCTCATATTAAAAGCAAATAAAAATGTTATTTATTGATATTAAACAGATATATTTTATAACTTAGCTAAATATAAATATGACTTAATTAAACAAAACAAAAAATCAACTCATTTGACACTTATATGAAAGTCAAATATAGATAATCTAAGTTATATTAACAAACATAGAAAACTAAAATAATATGTTGCATAAGTAACATAACTATCATATACGCTATTATTAATAAAATAACTTAATATATTTTACATTAAAATTAATTTCTTCATATATACATATATTTTCTTAAATATTTATATATTTATACTGTATATTAATATTATATAAGCTTTGCAGTATATGAAATTTTCTACAGATTATAATCGATATGTATTATAAATAATATGACACTAAAATGCTTTTAATACTATTTTACTATAGTTAGACAATCATAAATACTTTTCTTTTTGAATTAAATCTTGTAAATAATTTATATTGTACTGTATATTGTATATTATGATTATAATACAAAAATTTATAAAATTATAATGATTCATTTATATCTTAAGTTAAAGAAAATATTAATGTTCAAAAGTAAATAATCAAAATATAAAATAATACTAAAAATATTAATCAAAATATCAATAATAATTATAACATTAGTATTTATTTATGAATAAATTATATGTCAATTAGTTTTCTGATAAAACTATTTCTTTAGCTGTTTTTTGTGAACAATAATTGGTTTTGACTTTTGATAAAGTAATGTCAACTATTCAAGTGTTATATTGTAACTAATACAGTGTTTTTTCACTTACATTTGTATTGTAATGAAAAATAGAAATAATAGTTGAATTAGAAAGAATAGTTAATAATAGAAATTTAGTAAAAAATGACATTGTTTAATTATATTGCAATATATATTAATGCAATATATATTATTTATAATGTATGATCAATACATATTGTACTTACAATTATATTGTATGATAAGATTTATATATTACTATAGGGTATTGTATTTGAAAATTAATTTAAATGATGACGTTTTATTACTAAAAGAAAAACTCAATTATCAATATTTATATTAGTATTTCACTTGTATTTGACAATATATATAATAATATATATTTTATAATATTTGTGAGCTATTAATATTAAGTCTAATCTCATGTAACCACAAAATTAAGAAATTTATATATTTTTTTAATCGTTTACGAAGTATTAGATATTAATTTCAATTTCCAAGAAAATGTTTTACACTAGAAAATGATTTAAATTATTTGGATATACT